TGACTATAGACAATATTTAGTATTATGTGGTTATAAAAATCAAATAAAACATTTAACCAATTCATTATATTTTGAAATTGATATAAGTTTTAAATATATACACGGACCAATTAATGAATGGGAGGTGTGTGCCTATATAGAAAAATATCAAAAAAGTAAGTAAAGAATTAATAAAATTACAAAATCTATACTATAATATAAATTTTTTTGATTTTTATTTAAAAGCTTTAGTATTCGCACATGCTTTTACAATCCTTCAAACAGCGAATATATATAAAAAATTATTTGAAGAACTTTTTATATGTGTAGAACAGGATTGTGGTCATTTAATCGAGTTTAAATATATTCACAGCCATGTATTTTAGTGGATGAACATCAGGGTCAAGTATTGGGTAATTTATACAATTTTTTTTTTATTTAGTATATGTATTTTTTCAAATACAGTTTATATTATTTTAAATAATATTTTAGGTTTAGGTCAATACTTAGCAGAAAAATTTCCAATATTTAATGCAACTGAACATTCAGAAAGAATTTATAAATTATGTACAGTGCATTTTAAAAGGTAAAAATTTTAATAAAAATTGCATGATTATTATTTTTTATATTTTTTATATTAATACTATAATTACTATATACATAATTAAATATATATTTCTTTTAATTAATATGTAGAAACATTTGTAACAAAAAAGGCGTAAATAAAGAAATAAAAAAAAAAAGTACTCATTAATAGAAAGTAAAATGGCATATGAAGTTATGAGTACTCTGGAATTTCTTTAACAATGTGAAGAACCTGTTGTAGCGGGTATATTTTACATATAATGATAATTATTGCTATATATAAAATTTAAATTAGCAAGTTTGTCACCAGCATTTACTAAAATGGCACCAACAGTTTGGGCTAATACCCCATTTACAACAAATGCAGGAGAATTGCTCACGCAAACATCAATCGATATGGTCGTGAATTAACTTTATTGTCGGCTATTCAAAAGTTAGATTTTTTATTATTATACTTGGTTATTTATATAATTTATTTAACATATTTAAAAATAGAGCGAGTGAATTTGATCGATTTCAATGGAGTTCTGCCCATACATATGAAAAAACAAATATTTCTGATTCCTATCGGGACAAATCGTCTTTACAAAGAAGTGTTGAGGCGACTAAAAAAAGCCGTATGTATTCTATATATGATGATAAAGTTTTGATAATTAATTAATTATTTTTTGTTCATTTAAAGAAAAGCGTACAAATAAAAATTCAAATAGTCAAAAGTCTTCTAAAAAGACTCGGCTTACCAAAAATAGCACGGGAATCTCACGTGAATGTTCTGAATTGTCTATTGAAGATCATG